ACTAATTGGTACAGAACAAGTGAATAATTTATAAGAATAAAAAGCACTGGGTTTTCGGAAGGTGTGCAGAGACCATGAAGACACAGCTGTTTCTGGGAGCGAACAGGAAAACAATGGCGCCGCCTGGAAATTCCACAGCCCGCTGCTGCCCTCCAGAGGCCAAGATGTACCATCGGCTCCCATGCCTTAAAAGAGGGCTATGAGGCCGACTACAAAGTCAGATCCATTAAGTTTTAAATATTCATGCATTTCATTAAAGCTATCATAATTGGTCTACCGTACACATTGATTATGCATAGACCATCAAGTGTTTAACCTCTGAAAGCTTGCATGCGTATTTAAATATATCTGTTATGTCCTGTCGTGGTGGCTTCAGAGAAATCTTCAGCAACATGGAGCTGAATTAGGGTGTGGGAGGGGGAAAAAATTATGGCAGCGCTGAAGGGAAAAGATAGCTTCTCAACAAATATATTTTCCGCAGCATCTTTGGAAAAAATAATAATTTTTGTTCCTTAAGCATTCTAAATATATACAACACTGATACCTTTGATGTGGCTTAAATGGAGAGGAGCAAAAGCTGGCTGGCGTTCCTCAATGACTGCTCATTTCTAGTGATTTTCCAGCCGTATTTTGTGCTCAGATTTTGGGAAGATGACAAACGTGTGCTTTTAAATTGCATCACAAAACCCATGATGAACAAAATTTAAAAATCAAATAAGGCGACGTGGAAAGAGATCTCAGCTAAAAAGCAAAGAAACATAATAAAAGTTGGAATACTTGGCGGTCAAAAAAGTGTAAAACGATAAAATGCCTAAATTCCTGTAATTCAATTTTATAGCAGCAAAAATTAAACACAAACAACCTAATGACCATTTTAAATATACATGAATCCCTTGGTGTAAAACAAACCACCATAAATGGCTGTTCAGGAGCAAATGAACATGGATCACTTCATACATAACAAACAACCAATGTGTTCAGGTCGTAAACGATCTTTTTTTAGTGATCTAACAAAGTCTTAATCACCTCTATTGACTATATCACACCCAGGATAAAACCCCACCTTTTCAGACCAGTGTCCCAAATATAACAAAAGAACTCCAGCGTATCAATGATGCCACCTCCAAAATAAAATTTACTTAAAATTGTAGGGTGTTGTGAGCAATGATAATGAAAACATGCAACATTTTCAAAACCGGCTTGCTCCTTCAAAACACTGTAATTACCTAGTTACATGGGCAAAGTGAGAAAGCAAGCTCAACCCTTATAAATCAAGATGGCAACATCTTAAGGTCATTCAGGAAATTGTTTTGGCTACAGGCATCCTATTCCAACAGGGATTCACGTGAGTACTACAGCAGAACATCCTTCAGATGCAGCGTGCAGAAGTATTACAATGAAGAATGATTGTGTTATAATGCATAATACTGAGAGTGTTAGACATTGCTACATCTCAGGAAGTGGAGCCAGAAGCATGCTCTGCATCATGAACAAGATTTCAGGTTCATTGGATAAGCTGTGCTTTCTACTAGAACCCAGGCGTCTAACAGTCTTACTGTTTGTTCACTGGTTTTATTTTTATGCCAGATGTGTCCCAGTAGAGGGACTCCACTGGAGCATGGTGCATGGTAATAGCTTTGGTGGGCAGGTGTATACCAAGCACAGATGCTGGAAGCATTAGGCCCCCTATGTAAGGGTTCAACCAAAAGGCTCGTATTACTAACCCATAAACAAAGGGACCAGCCTAGCCCTGCCCTCCTTCTGTCTTCACTCTTTCAGAAGAGCAATCTGTATGCATGTAGAACCTAGTGTGACTGGGAACCAATCTGAAATTGTTGAACCACATGGAAAGCACTGGCGGATACCGACCACTCTCCTCTTCAGATGTATGGTAACTCTCCACAAGCAGAATGCTAGTTGGACCAGACCACTCCCTATACTCATAGGTTGAGGCTCACCTTTTTACTGAATGAAACAGAGCTGATCTGCTCATGTTAAAATCTTACCAGATGTTCATTCCTCAAATTAACTTGTTAATGCTAATTTGCATTGGTAACTATAAAATAAATTGCCACCTTGCTCATAAGTAATGTGCTTGTCATGCACTACTTTCAAATTTTAAAAAGTGAACACTTCAGAAATTTCGCCTAAATGCAATAAATTAATACAAACATGGTTAATTGTTATTCAAGCCATTTACCTTGTCGATGTTAAAACAACTGTGAAAACGATTAACCATTATGATGTATAATGTGTAGGAAATAAATGTTTAATGAATAAATTCAGCATTCTAACTAAATATTAAAGGCACAGAACACGTGCTCAGTCCAGGACGTCATGATCAGATGGAGAGCTCATCTCACGAGAGCTTTTCACACAGAAATCCACTCCTGGTTTTGCAAAGGCCTTCTTCTTCTGGACCCTAATGGGGTGGGCAGCTGCTAGCTCTTCTTTTTGTCTAGACAGCTGGGGAGGCAGGAAGGAATCTCTGCCAAGCTACTAGAAATCCTCATGCAACCGGCCACCAGATCCTGATCAACCTTCCGCCCACCTATGCTTTACAGGGGAGAGATAAATTCCTGGATACTCTTGTATATAGCAAAGTATTGGATTGCAAGTATGGCATTGTGGAATGTTCTAGAATAGTTTTATCATTCAAATAAAATTTAAAGCTGTAGTCATTTGAACCACAGTGCCTGCTGTTGTTGCTTCTAGTTCTGAACACCCTGAGCACTCAAAATGTGATGCCTAAATGCTGTGCCTTTCAAAAATGAAGAGTGACCTGTCTGGGAACCAGATGTTTGCTTTCATTTGCTGTTTTACACATGGTGCTGCGGACTGGCCACAGGTCATTCATCCCTGCTGTTGCTACTCCGCCTCTGTTAACTGACGGAAGCGTGTCACTGTTGGGAGCTTTATTTGCAACCTTGCATGCTGTCTGTAATTTGTGTGATTGGGAGGGACTTTTCAGGGCTGGAGTGATTATTTATCCAGCGCTAACCAATAGTTCCTTCTAGCCTTTTAATTAAAGAGGGCTCTGCCTCTCTGCAGAGTACTGTACACTTTCCTTTTCTTTAGTCTGATGGTGGCAATTGTTTGCTGTTGATCTGTTCATCTGGTTGCTAATTGTGTGTACAGTAAAGAAAGCAGCATGTCCAACTCTGTAGTTTCAAGCAACTGTAAATAAATATTTTATTCTTTCTCCTATAAATATCTCAGAGTGAGTTATTAAGACTTTAAGTGCCAGTTAATGAGAAAGGGGTGGACTCTGGGGAACTTGAAACTATTCTCCTCTGTGGATCTCTGTACTTCTACTGAGCAGCAAAAGGAATTTTACCAGAAATTCAAAACTCTGCAACACTAACCACCAACAACCACATCCTCCATGAATTTCTTGCTTGAGAAGCAATCAGAATTGGTACCAAATGAGGGGAGGCAATGCACAGCCTTTGGCCTAATTTCAACATCCCAGTGCTAGTAATTAACACAGATGTCTGGCAAGAGTGGTATTTTCTCCCTTAAAAGCACCCTCTGTGAAAAGAGAGGGGGAAAAGATAGTGGCAGAAATAGAATGGGTGACAGAAAGAGAGAATGAAAGAGAAGTGGACCAACCCAGTGTTACTCTAGCCCCAGCCACTGATGGCTTTGGTCTGACCTCACATGGGGATACAGCTCCCCTGCCTCCATATATTGCCTTTCTGGAATCCTGTCCCTCTTTCACCAGGCTAATGCTTAGAAAGCCATTTTCAGCTATTTAATCAACAATAAGATTTTTTTTTTAAAGAATTCTTTGAAGGCCAGTATTTTTTAAGCTGTTTTAATATTAATTCTTATTGCCGTCAACAGTTTGTACGTAGGTTCTTTGCTTTTATTGAGTTTTAGCATATTGGTGCTATGATGGCGATTTTACTTTCATGCGATGTGTTGTAAGCCAGTTTTCTGTAATTTATGTAGGGGAAGACAATGAATAAATAAATAAATAATGACTATGAATATTATCCATCATGAACCCTCAGTTGAGGATGAAACCTAGCCATTCCTTGGGAGAGCAGGTGTATTACACTGCTGTGCCCATAGACAGAGTGTTCAGTCTTCTACAGCAGAGTCCAAGGAAATGCAGGAAGAACCCACACTAATGACCATCCCCACATTACAAGGCTGCAATCCTATACATACCCATGGGGAGGATCTCATCCTGAACTCAGCGAGGCTCACTTCTGATTAGACATAGACAGCACCGCATTTCAGCTGCTTGCACTCACAATGACTGCTAGGGACACAGCTATTTTATTTTGTGAACAGCCTCATGTTTATTCCCAGTGTTTCTATTCAGCTTCTGGATATCACTCACGCGTATCTCCAAAACTGGGACCCACAAGACAGGCAAGTGCAAATTTTGTGTAATAAATGTGTAACATGCATATCTTAGCTTAGGGAAATAAATGGAGGTGTGGGTGATGGGAATGAAGAACTGCAAGAAAATTCATGGGTTGTGCTAACGCATATCTAACATATCCAAAACCAGTTAAACAGTTAATTAGCAAACTTTAAAATGGCACCCAAAAAAGACAGTGCAAAATGTAATTGAGTTTTATATAAAGCAAAGTGTTACTGCTTATATACTGCCCCATAGTGCTTAAAGCTCTCTCTGGGTGGTTTAAAATTTAATTATGTATGCTATACACTGCCCCCTGCCCTGGAAGCTGGGTACTCAATTTACCAACCTCAGAAGGCCAGAAGGCTGAGTCAACCTCAAGCCAGTTACTTGTGCCCAGGATTGAACTCAGGTCAAGAGCAGAGTCTTCACTGCGCTACTGCAGTTCAACCACTTTGCTGTGATGCTCTGTATACACATTGTGTGAGGAACTGTTTCTTAGAATCTCATCACCATGTGGGATTTTGTGGGAGATTTCCTCCCGGTCTACATAATTGTGGAAGAAGCAAAACGAGGAAAGATCTCAAAAGATATAAAGGAAATTAGCAAAAAAGACATTTATTGGCATTTGGAAAAATACGCCCTAGGATTGCAGCATTGCACAGTTCACACAATTTCAGCTCAAAATTCATTTTTGGAAGATCAACTGTCGATTAATCAAACCCTGACACAAAAATACTGGATTTTGTAAAATTTTTATGGCAACTATAAGCTTTCACTTAAGAAGCAGCAGCATCAAAAGAAACGTTCTCCCTTTATTTTCTACAAGGCTTAGGTGACAAACGGGTGTTGTGGTTAAAGTGCAATTCGGGCACAGTAATGTTTTAACTTGCAAGGTAGAATGCCTTTATTGAGCTGGTAGAACTCCACAAGTTGGATAAGATCAGAAAACCTGGTGTGACCATCATCCAGCGTATAAAAAAGTTTGCCTTCCTCTTCCAACTGCAAAAACAGTTTAAAATAAAAAACAGCAACAAACATGAACAATCATTTCAAGGGTACTTTGCAATTCTTCCAATTTTTTTTTACCCACCCTCTGCTGAAGAGAAAAGAGGCAGACCCTAATCTCCCCTGGCCCACTAAGAACATCAGGATGGAGCTCAGTTTTGCATTCGAGTCGCCAAAAGCTACAGAGAGGGCAGCACTGCTCACAACCCATGAAACCCCCTTTTGGGGTGGCCTCATCAAGCTGGCCAAAGTTTGTCCACTGATTGGTAAGGAGGAAAAGTACACCCTTATGATGCCCTGGCCACTCACGGATGTGCCTTTCTCCTTCCGTGATGCGTTTGAGCCTTTTAGCACAAGCGCTGAAGGCTGCACATTGTCTGGCAATTGAACAACACCTGCCAAAGGAGTACCTTCTATTTTATTAAAAAGTTTCTTAACTGAGCAACCTAACTGATTCATTGATTAAGAAGTTATACCTCTAAGAGCAAACCTACAGAAGTAGGAGGAATATATTGCTTTAATGGTTTTTTTACTCATCAGTTCATTGCTGGTATTGATTTTTACTTACTTTCTTTTTTAGCCTGCAGCTTTTGTTCTCTGTACTGTTGTACTAGTTAATTTTATTCCTTTTGTTAGCCACCTTGAGAGATTACCAAGAAAGCAAGAATGACCCTCACCCAACCGGCAGACGAAACAAAAGCAAAACACCTGTACCTCACTCTTGTGGCCCTCGCACACAACCAGCAGAAGGCACAAGGGAGTAGCAAAACCAAACCAGGGGAAGTGTACCCTAGAGGTATCCTATCTGGCAAGCAGGGCATGAGAAAGTCCGAGAAAGTACAGGCAGAATTCTCATATCCCTATGCCTGGATCTCAGTGAGGCCTACAGCCCCCTCCTACCTCCCACAGTTTTAGTAGAAAAATCAGGCAAAGCAGGCAAATGCACATCGCTTTAATAGCGCATTGGGTCCAGCCTGACTTGCTGCAGGACGGCCCGTGGAAGATTTCTGTATCCACTGCCAATGAAACTCAAGCTCTCTTCCCTCAGCCCTCTCAAAGCAGCTCTCTGTGGTACAAAAACAACTGCTCTGCAGGGTTTCCTAGTTCTAGGGAGTAGGATTTTAAGGCATGCAGGCAGCCCCACAAGGGAGGAGAGGCATATCTGATGCTGGTGAAGTAGCAGGGACCCAGCAGAAGCCCCTCGTTGGAGTTTGCAACTTTATTTTAACCCACCTGCCTCGGTATAAACCCCACTGAGCTCAGTGGAACTCCTATGTAAATGCGTAGAACAGGACTGGACCAAATGCGGACTCTTGGACCCACAGCACCTGAACTGAGGGGCAAATGATGCCTCCAAATTGCAATGACAACCCAGGAAACCTCCCATTGAAGCAAGAGCCATTTTGTTTGCACAAAGTGCTTCTTCTAGCAGTTTGCCACTGAATGTCAGCAGCAAATCACAAATTTAAAGCAAGAGGAATGCTGGCAAATTTTAGAGGTCACCAGCGCTGCAGGGGTGTGTGGTCCACTGTAGCCCCCAGGAGATGGGAGTACAGCAGCGGACTCCATGGAGCTTGGCAGTGAAGACATTAGCAGGGTGTTGTGCCTACTCCAGGTTTTAGTCTGAACTTTAATGAAGCTATTCAAGACGCCGAATCTACCTTGCAGATAAGGTTCAGCACATTGGACAGCTCCTGTAAAGTCCGAATAAAAACCCAGAGTGGACTTACTGGCCTAATCGCAGCAGAGACACCAGCCTGATGTTCTTCACCCTTGATGTAGAGGCGTGCACTGTTATAAATATGCAACTTCTCCTGAGTACACCTTCTGATCTTTGGTTTTGTTTTTAAAACATTCGCCTTGTCAGTTTTCTATAGGCGCTATCTGAAGAAGCTGGCAAGGTTCGCCTTGTGCCTGTATGCTTCAATAAGCCCAAACACATTCTGCCAAGTTGTATGTTCTCTAGTGATGGGCATAAACTGCTGGTTTGGCGGTCCGTGCAGGTTCGGCTGACAGCGGCACAAGCTGTTCCACGGTTCAGCCCCCTGCCCCCCTCCAGCAGGCGACCACTCGAAGGCAGCATTTCAACTTCCCTGCCCCACCCCTTTTGAGCAGTGCCCGCTGAATGAGTGCCCGCTGGAGGGATGGGACGCCAAACCACAGAAAGGCTGTGCAGCTGTCAGCCAAACGGCCAGCCTGTCCGTTCTTGTCCATCTTCTATCTTAGGACACAAAACACATGAGAAATAAAATAAAGCTAGTATGAGCTATTGGCATGCGGATCAAAGTTCATGTGGAAACCCTTGTAAGGGTTTAATATATCCCATTTGAGTCCCATTTTCATATAACTAGCTTCTAGTGTTAGAAATAGGTTTTAATCATTATAATTATAAACAGAATGAATTACCAAAGCAGTCGCCTCTTGGGTTGGCTGTACTGTATCAACTCAGCAGCAGTGTGCTACTAATTCGGAAACTCAGTACATATACTTACCGGCACAATTTGGAAGTGTTTTATTTTTAATCCATGACTCAGGGACAAAACAAATGTTTTGGGGTTACTTTGGCTATCCCGTACCAAGAAAACACTAAGGAAAGAAGGGAAAAAAACAGTTATCAGACAATCCTGCTTTGGAGTAGCTTTTGCCTCACATTCGTGGCAACGTGAGGTTTGTGTTCACCAAGAAAGATCTGATTGAAATCAGGGACATGTTGATGTTAAAACTGGTAAATCTTACCCCTGGCAAGTTTTGAAATTATCTCAATAAGCACTGAATTTAGAGGGTTATTACCAGTATTCTCCATGAAAGAGATCTTAAAGTATATGCCTGTTTGTTAAAGTTAATAGAATTAACATGACTACATGATCTGGAGGAAAGGTGGGAAACTTTTAGCCTTCCGGACATTTTGACTTAATGCCATCAGACTCATCCAGCATGGGTCCCAAACACCTGCAGAGTGGAAAAGATGCTCCCCACTGAGACAGATATTACAACATCCTTTTCTAGAGGCTAAGCAGGTATTGGGTGGGGGTGGGGGGTCATCAATGCTTGAACAGAAGACCATCATGCAAATGAAGGCATACTGTTTCGATTTGCATCATGGAAGATAAATAAGAGGTAGAAACTGACATATCCATAAAGCTCCAAATGGGTAAAGCAGAGATAAATTTTAAAAACCTCAGCAATGAAAATGATCTTTAAAAAAAATTAAATAAGGAGCTGGTAGCAAAGGAAGACTTTCATAGATGAAAACCTTCTTATTGTTATTGTCAGAAAAAAATCAAGTCTTAAAGGCATGTCCTACAGTGCCAGCCATAACTTTAAGGCAGAGTCAGGTGGACTAGTCAAGAGAATGACAGTGATGACTGACGGACATGCTGAGCTGATGCCACAGAGCATGCTATGTCTATCCTGAGTCAGCCCATTGCCCTCAGGTGCAGGGCAGAATAGATTATCCTACAGTCACTGTTAAGTAAGAATCACTCGCTGTCTAATTGGTTTTTGCACACAGAACCATGGGAGGGCCTCACAGCAAAATGTCTTGGACTGGCCTTGACAGAAGTAAAATATAAAGAGGAAGGACAGAGAGAGAGAGAGAGAGAGAGAGAGAGAGAGAGAGAGAAAGTGAGTGAGACAGAAAGAGAGCCTTCCCTCCAAGCATACACTCTGTTGCTAAAATAAAAACACACTAAGTAAGTGTAGTCTTCTAATACAGCAGACCCCACCCCCAGATTATATTCCTGCAACTTCCATTCCCACAAGCTCTTCAGGACAATACATTGTAGGGTAATGTCTAGAGATGGGGAGTATTTGCATTCATATATGAATACGCCCACACAGGTGGACATAAAAAAGGTCTGGCTCCCTGGGGCCAGACCGTCCAGTCACACGTCCGTTGCTGCTGCCGGTGCTGCACTCCCCTTCCAAGTGCTCTGGAGCTCATGGTCGACTTGCCACTCACCAGCCTGGCAGGGAGGCACGTCTTCCCTCCTTCTGCCAGGAGTGGATAGTCGACCGGAAGGGAGCATGGAGCCAGCAGCAGCAGCAGCAGAGGAGGGATTAGTGGATGGTCTGGGCCCCCTCATTATGTCCACCTGTGCAGGGGTATATGAATACCTCTATCTCTAGCAATGTCCCATGTAAGGGGGAAAAATTAAGGAAATATATCTCACCCGTCGACCAGTCCTTGTCTCAAAATCAGTTGGTGGGCCTCATCTCTAGAAATCCTGTGGTGAAACCATGGCTGGGAACTGTGTATAGCTAAAAGTATCATCAATAGAGGACAAATCTGATTTTAGGAGGAAACAATGCCACGGTCTTATTGTCTGCTCTTAGTATAAAATCATGCCTATCATGACCCACAAAGCCCACAGTACCTATATTTGCTGGGACGTTTTGCAATGTGGTAGGGCTGCTGTGACTCCCAAGTCGCAAGCATCCCTTTTTCTATAAGGGGGAAACAAAGGGAACAGTTATGAACATCCTGATCAAGAAGAGGAAACTAGATATATACTCTATATTTTTTAATTGAATGAAGAGTTCATACCCGCCACGCTAAGCCTTCTTCAACGGCAACTGACAGGGCTTCTGTTGGGTTTTCAATAACTCTGGATCTATGCCCTGTGAAGTCCATTGCCACAAGAGAATTCTCTGAAACACTTCTCTACAGAAAGGAAGAAAGGAAATTAAATACTCCTAGTTCAACCCAGCACTTGGAAAATTTACTTAAAAAAAAAAACAACAACTCCCAAAATGATAGCCATAATAAAATAAAATAGGGAGAGAAATTTTTCCAGACTCTGATCCACCTTTTCCCAATCTGGCAGTCTCCAAATGTGCTCAATAGAGAAATGCCATTTGTGATGTTTTATTTGTTTTGGCCTTCGATTCCCAGAATTCCCCATGCAGAATTCTGGGAGTTCCAGCCCACAAACACACACTGGGAGACACCTACATTTTGCTCATTTTCACTTATCTCTGAGGCTGCATGGCTCTCTTGGGCTTTTTTTTCCTGTTGTAAATGTACATTTGCCACAAATGTTAAATTAATACCGAAATGTATCCTGCGATACAAAGATATCTGCAAGCGGGATCTGAAGGCCTTAGGAATGGACCTCAACAGATGGGAAACCCTGACATCAGAGTGTTCAGCCTGGAGGCAAGTGTTGCATCACGGCCTCTCCCAATTTGAAGAGACCCTTGTCCAGCAGGCCGAGGCAAAGAGGCAGTCCCGAAACCAGCCAAAACAGGGAGCTGGGCAGGGGACAGACTGTGTTTGTCTTCAGTGTGGAAGGGATGGTCACTCTCGAATCAGCCTCCTCAGCCAGACTAGACACTGTTCCAAATCCTCCATACAGAGCACGTTACCATCGTCTCTTGAGACTGAAGGATGCCTATATACACATACACCGAATGTAGTATCATTAACATAGCGATTCTCAAAATAAAGCAATGGGCACGGCATTATCAGATTTTTCCCCTCCATAATTACTACCACCAGAATCTTGCACGAGTTCCCCTAGCTAGATTTCTAATATTGTTTGCCATTCAAGGCTCCTCATTTGTTCCTTGTCCAGGCTTTCTCTGCAGCGGAAGCTGTTGGGATTTGGCACTAAGCTCTATGGCCAGTGCAAAGCTTTAAGGGCTGGTGGTCTCTTCGTTCATTACACCTTGTAGAGCAGTGGTTCTCAAACTGGGGTCCCCAGGTGTTCTTGGACTGCAATTCCCAGAGGCCTTCACCACCAGCTGTGCTGGCCAGGATTTCTGGGAGTTGCTACCCAAGAACATCTGGGAACCCAAGTCTGAGAACCACTGTTGTAGAGGAGGCCTCTCAAAAAACTACTGCTGCTGCTACAGTGCCTCCTGGGGATCGTCGTTCTTCAGGCGGTGCCCTCTATACAGCCTAAAGAGCAACGAGACTGCAATTCTCAGGCACCAGGGCATCAGCTTCTTCTTCTTTCTTTCTTTCTTTCTTTCTTTCTTTCTTTCTTTCTTTCTTTCTTTCTTTCTTTCTTTCTTTCTTCTTTTCTTTTTTTTGTACATTTACAACAGGAACCAAGGCTCATGGCAGCTATGCAGTCTCAGAGACAGGCCCTGGTCCAGGTGAGCAAAATATAAGTGTCTGCAGGTGTCTGTGAACTGGAACTTCCAGAATTCTGCCTCGGGAATTCTTGGAAGGATTCTGGGAGTTGGTGCCTATAACAGGCAGCCCTGACCTTACCTGTCCGTCACAGCTGGGCAGTGAATCATCAGCCAATGGGGTGACGGAGGGTGGGGCTGAGGAGGGAGGAGCTGGAAGAAAAAGGGGTGTGAAGAGAGTGTGAGAGATCAGATCTGGAGTGTGAGAGAGAAAGAGCTTGTTTAGAGGCCTGTGTGCCAAAGTGTTCAGTGAGGGAAAGTCTGTGACTGATTAAATAAGAAACAGTGATTGACATCGTGATTAGCTACTTGTGATTTACATATTTTATTTTGTTATTTCAATAAACCTGTTTTGTTTTGAAGGAAACCTTTGTCCTTCTTAAACAGTCATTATAATTGGTGGCAGCGAGTGTGAAGTGGTGTGGTGGGCATTCTGAGAGGCCTGAGTTGGCAGTGACATCAGAGTGGCCTGCTACGTCACAGTGCCCATAAAATAAAATTAAATTAAATTAAAAAAAAAACATTCCCAAAGGCACCTCCTTAGTGCTGGATCACAGGGCAGGACTTGTGCTTCAACACATCTGAAGGCAATTTTTTGTTGTTCTGATCAGAATCCATTTTTGTCAGGGATGATGAGACTTTTACTTCAGTATATGGAGGGCTAGGGCTTCCCCACACCTGTCTTAAATGGTTTACATCGCAAAATGTCAGCACTGTATAGGAGCCTTGGTATAGGCTCCTATACAAAGAAACGATTTCGGTGACACTTTTCTGACCGCCACAGATGAAGTAAAATATCGGCAAATTATCAAAATGGATGGCTGTGCTCCAAAGAACTAACTTTTCACATCACTTCCAAATGGGAAGTAAGAGAGGAAGAAATATGAGTAACGAGTCAAGCATATAAAACGGATATTCATATTCTTGAAAAGTGGAGTGAGGTTTTTTTTCCCCCTGAAAAGCAGCAAATGGTATCCCTTCCTCCATGGCACACAGTATCCTAGGGTGACCAAGCTACTGTGGCACCAGAGGCAGAAAATGTCCTGTCTCCCCCCCCCCCACCCCAGTGGAACTAGAATACAGTAAAGATAAATTAAACAGTGGTTCTCAAACTGGGGTGCCCAGGTGTTCCCAGAAGCCTTTTCACCACTAGCTGTGCTGGCCAGGTTTTTTAGGAGTCACGGTCCAATAACATCTGGGGACCTAAGGTTCTTCAGAGCAGAGGAAATCACCTGCCCGAGGCAGCCATGTGTTAGCACCAAATTCAAAATTTTGTGCATCAGAGTTTCTTTAATGGTATTTGAATAGTACCTACCACAGGCGTGCTAAGAGAACTGCACCCACTTCTGCATTGGTAAGGCTGCATGTAATTCTGGTACAATTGCATTCCATACTGGAAACAAAGCAAGAAGTAACTATTACAGTCTTACAGCTGTAAGATCCACAGCATAAAAATACCCAGTGGTAGGTTCACAAAGTGGGGCATTTCCATCATCCACTAACTCTGCCCAGAATCTTCTCTCCCACACCACGCTCATATCCTAACAAAAGAAAAACCCTGGAGCAGGGAGAAATATTCTTATGCAAAATGGAGGCTATTCCATCCGTAAAGTTTAGGCAGCCTTTCACATCATAGCACCTTCCAGGTCAACAAGTACACTGTAGCCCAAACAATCTGGAGGATATCAAGATGAGCCCAGGGTAGCCAGAGCTGCAACTACCCAACTTCTCTCATTAATCATCATCATCATCAATGTAAATCCAAACTAATATCACATGGTCTTTCCATGGCCTCAATGGAAGCCAGCTATTTTTCTTGCATGGCATTGCCAAGTATTTAAAACTACTATTAAATGTGATGATACCTACTACCATGTTGTTCCCCTTTGTTGTCGACAGCCTGAGATTAATTGACCTACCAATCATTGTCATTGTTTACTGAACAATGCTTCCTGGAAGGGGAACTGACTATGACCTCTGAATAACCTTTGAACTGCAGAGCTGGAAGGGAGCCTACAGATTATTGAGTCCAGCCCTCTCAAAGGAAGCATAGAGGGGGAATTGAACTCCCAACCTCTCTGGCTCTGTAGCCAGAGATGTAAGCCACTGAGCTATTAATGGTTGTTGCCTGGTGTGAAATGCCACACCATCAACTATTTGTGCCCAGAAAACAATCAGTCCCCTTGTTTTGGGGCCCTGTATAACTATAACTATTTGCCATGGAGTCCCATTGTCATGTCTGAAGAAGTGGACTTCTCCACAAAAGCTAACATTAAAATATAGCAATTAGTCTTTAAGGAGCCACAATGTTTTGCCTTCTTCTTTTTGCTTGACATATCAGATATGATGTTACTGATGCAGAGATTCTCAGAATGAAGCAACAATGAATAGGCAGTGGATTATCAGATTTTTCTTTCAGTACAAGTAACAGAATTCAGCAGGAGTTCCTCCAGGTAGAACTCTGATCATTTTAGCCAAAATAACCCAAGTTATCAGAGGAGTTTAGCAGGCAGTCTGATCTTGATCTGTGCCAAATTTGGGGGAGTTTGAGCACACGGTTTTTGACTTATGATTTTTTCTGCCACCCCCTCCTTGCAAACACTGGTGACTTTTTTTTCAGTCTGCCGACTTAAAACAGATCAAATACATTGAAAAGATGAAACCTGCTTACATTGAAAGATCCTTTTTAGCCCCAGCTACTCCTTGCAAACACTGGTGACTTTTTTTTCTGTCTGCTGACTTAAAACAGATCAAATACATTTAAAAGATGAAAGCTGCTTACATTGAAAGATACTTTTTAGCCCCAGCTAGGGTTTTTTTTAATTTGGAAGGAATCCAAGCTTCAGAGGGTTTAATACTGGCTCTGAAAAGAGCCATTTCAAAGGGGAGGGGGAATTGACTTTCTTATAAACTGGCATCAACACTAAGAGTCTAACCAGAAACACTGCTTCAGCTTGGGAGCACGAAAGGGAGATCTGAACTTTTTGTCACGCCAGTCAGTATCAAATTAAATGACTTTCAGGAGAACTTTTTAACTTCTTCCTGGCCAAACAGGTATTTGAAAAATATTGCATTTCTAGTGTAAAAGTATTTTAAAAGAGAAAAATATTGCATTTCTAGTGTAAAAGTACTTTAAAAGATATTTTAAAATAGAGAAGCTCACTCACTTAAGATGTAAAATTACTTTTTTTGATTTTGTGGCTGGGGATGGTCTTACTCAATGTTAGCAGAGCTTTAGGGCCTATTGCACCAATCTTGTCACCATAGAATTGTTTGGTAATTTAAAAAAACCTCTAGATATGCTATGTGTCATCAAGTCACTTCTAATGTGTGGTGGTGACGGTATGAGTCAATGAATTCCAGAATGCCCTACCATTAACAGTTCTGCTCAGATCTTGCAAACAGCAACTCATGTTAGATCTCTCTCTGTACTGCCCCGCTTTCTACCAATACTGTATTTCCCATTAAATTCTGCTCAGATCTTGCAAACTAACAGCTGCGGCTTCCTCCATTAAATTCTGCTCAGATCTTGCAAACTATCAGCTGTGGCTTCCTCTGTTCAGTCAACCATCTCATGTTAGGTCTTCTTCTTCTCCTACTGCTCCACCCAACTTTTCCCATCAATATAGTCTACTCTGGTCACTTCTATATATGTGCATGGTAGGATAGGCTAGGTTAATTTATTTTCGGTTAATTTAGTTTTCTTCCTCAGCATGCCAAACTCAAGGAAGGCACTTCCAAGTATTCTCTGCCTAGAAAAACCTAGAAAAGGTTAGCATGAGTCAGAATGGACTTGATGGCATACTATGATGATGATGACAAAATGTGCAGGCAAATACAGCTACCACTGGTTCCATCGCAGTTGTCATGCAGTTCTAACATCTGAGAGAAAGCCCATGGTACAAAGCTCATGGCTTATTCTCACTATGGCTCCACACTGGTGCACTCTTTCTTGGGTGCTCTTCAGGAGTCTGGAAATACTCCCCTGCAGTGGCTAAGGATTGGGCTGGAGCACGTTGTCTACATCAGCCACAGAAATAATCAGCAAAGAAAATTAGCAAGAGAAAAGCCACTTACCTTAAGCAAGCGAATTGCTGTCACCCAGCTGGTCCTACTTTGTTCACTGTCTGCATAAAGCTGTTTCAGGTCTCTGGCTCTTCCTGCTTTGTGAGGCTAGAAGGCCACAGCATATTGTTTAGCATTAATTCATATCTTGGAGGCAATACCTGTTGAAATAAAGGCTGCTAGTTCTCCCAGTTCATCAGACAACATATTCTGTTATTGCTACTCCAGGAAAAAATGAAGCTTTGCTAACAGTATTGCTCTCTGTTTTCCTGGCATATACAGTGGGGTCTTGACTTGAGAACTTAATCCGTATTAGAAGGTGGTTCTCAAGTCAAAAAGTCTGTAAATCAAGTCTCCATTGACCTACAGTGCATTGAAAACCGATTAATCCCGTAACAGGCCGTTTTTGTTCCATTTTGGTTTTTTTCTGGTCTGTAAGTCAAATCTCAGTCTTCAAGTCAAAACTAAATTTTGCGGCCAGAGAAGTCTGTAACTCAAAAAGTCTGTAAGTCAAGCCGTCTGTAAGTCAAGGATCCACTGTATATCCCTCCATGTGCCCAAAATTAAGTTATCTGATATCAAAGCACTCAATATTTACCTTAAAGCAGAACCCAAAGCCGGTGGGCGCTCCAGATAATTTTTTGCCTGCCAAAGACATATATATGTCACTACTGCTGAATTCACTGAAAAGCTGCAGATGTCTTGGCTCCTAAAAAAAAAAAGAAGAAGAACAATTTAAAGCTGGCTATGGCAAAAAAAAAATCCCCTTCTCGGATTGCTGCCTTGTTGTGGCAAAGGGGCTTGAGCAACTCAGAGAAGCTATGGGCTATGCCGTGCAGGGACACCCAAGACAGCCAGGTCATGGTGGAGAGTTCTGACTAAACACAACCCACCTAGAGCAGGAACTGGCAATGCCACTCCTGCATCTTTAAAGGCTAAAATATATGATGCTGAAAGATGAGCCCCTTAGGTCGGAAAGTGTCCAACATGCAACTGAGGAAGAGTGGAGGACAAGTACAAGTAGCTCCTGAGCTAGTGAAGTGGTTGGGCCAAAGCCGAAAGGACGCTCAGCTATGGATGTGCCTGGAAGTGAAAGGAAAGTCCGATGCTGCAAAGAATAATACTGCATAGAACCTGGAATGTAAGATCTATGAACCTTGGTAAACTGGATGTGGTCAAACAGGAGATGGCAAGAATAAACATTGACATCTTGGGTGTCAGTGAACTAAAATGGACGTGAATGGGCGAATTCAATTCAGATGATTATCATATCTACTATTGTGGGCAAGAATCCCGTAGAAGGAATGGAGTAGCCCTCATAGTCAACAAAAGAGTGGGAAAAGCTGTAATGGGATAAAATCTAAAAAATGATAGAATTATTTCAATATGAATCCAAACATCACAGTAATCCAAGTTTATGCACCAACCACCATTGCTGAGGAGACTGAAAATGAATAATTTTATGAAGATTTACAACACCTTCTAGAACTGACACCAAAGAAAGATGTTCTTGTCATTCTAGGGGATTGGAATGCCAAAGTAGGGAGTCAAGAGATAAAAGCAACAACAGGGAAGTTTGGCCTGGGAGTTCAAAACGAAGCAGGGCAAGGGCTAATAGAGTTTTGTCAAGAGAACAAGCTCTTCTCCAACAACACAAGAGGCTGCTCTATACATGGTAATCACCAGATGGGCAATACCGAAATCAGGTACTGTAGATTATATTCTCTGCAGCCAAAGATGGAGAAGCTCTATACAGTCAGCAAAAACAAGACCTGGAGCTGA